ACTTTCATTTAGCAAGGATGCATTGAATTCATCAAAAGTGACAAATTTGTCTAACAGTTTAAAAGTTTCAAGTACTGTTTCAAATAAATACAGTTCTTTTGAACTTTGTTTTCATCAAATAAACCTGAAAAAAATGTATCTTTGTTTCCACAAAAATATGTATTAAAATAGACAATAGTTCATTTAAACTGTAATATTTCACAATTTTTTAAATCTGTTAATTATTAGTGTTGTACTTTTTAATTGGCCCTGAAAAGCACTTAACTGGTGGAATATCTTGTTTAAGGTACAAGGCCTTTTAGACACTAAAGGTGTCTACATCTTAGATTGCTGGTCTGATGTCTTCATTTGGATTGGCCGTAAGTCCCCACGACTTGTGAGGGCAGCTGCATTGAAGCTGGGCCAAGAGGTGTGCAGTATGCTCCATCGGCCAAAACATGCCGTGGTCATCCGTAATCTGGAGGGCACAGAGTGCCAGGTAAAATTGACAAAATAAAAGAATAAACAGTCATTTACATTTACAGTCATTCTTTTAAACAAAACCACATTTTTAAAGAGCGTTCTAATTCCTGTTATATTACCATGTTATACTCAACAGGTCTTCAAATCCAAATTCAAGAATTGGGATGACGTGTTGAAGGTGGATTATACCAGGAACGCAGAGAGTGTAAAGCAAAATGAGGGCTTGAGTGGAAAGGTGAAGAAGGATGCAGAACAGAAGGACCAGATGAAAGCCGACCTAACAGCTCTGTTCCTTCCTAGACAGCCAGCAATGCCTCTCACAGAGGTAAGACCTGAATTACCAGCTCGTTAAACAGCCCAACCTTTCATTTTCTGCTACAGTTCTGTAAAATTCATTGTCTTTTTGGGTTTGTTGTAACTCAACAGGCGGAGCAGATGATGGAGGAGTGGAACGAGGATTTGGATGGCATGGAGGGATTCGTTCTGGAGGGGAAGAAGTTTGCCCGTTTACCAGAGGAGGAGTTTGGTCACTTTTATACTCAGGATTGCTAAGTATTTGTCTGCAGGGTGGTCAGAGGGTTTCACTAAAATGAACTGCAAAAATCCATCAATTCTGAGATGGACAGAATAATGATTGTTAACTCAATGAAATCATTAGATGCCAAAAAAAAACACCCCTAGCACACACTTTCCATTAAATCTCATCCTCGGTGTGCTGGCGTCAATTTATGCATGTTAAGCCCTAAACACACTGCACGATTTTCGCCTGTCCCAGACGAAAGATGGGCATCGTAGAACAATCGTCCCGATTTCTGTGGCTCCTAATCGGTGGTCCTGTGTTGCACAGTTTCACAGTTATTGTCACGGTCTTGCGACCAAAGATAGCCTACAATACAGCATGATCATCACACAGTGTGTTTGCTAGTACAATCCACGTTTACTGACCAACCAATAAAAATGTGACATGGCGCTAAAACAAAACTGCTTAGCTCAAGCTTTTATCCCTTCTTCTTTCGTCACTTCCACTTTTTTTCAGCACACATAAAAACTACAACTGCTAAAGTGTGATTTATCATGCTCTTTTTGTTTACCACTAGCGCATGCTGATGACGTTTTATTCTTTTATAATAATGTGCGTCGTAGCGTTCGAGTCAATAGGTGTCATCATCGTACAGTCAACACACACGTCGTAGCCAAGTTTATTAAAACTATTTCGCACAGTGTGACATGCAATGAACTTATAGGATTGCTAAAATCGTGCATTGTGTTTTGGGCTTTACTGATTTGTACTAACTAAAAAAAAAAATTACTTTGTTTTAGATCATTGGTCTCAAACGCAATTCCTGTAGGGCCACAGCTCTGCACAGTTTAGCTCCAACCCTAATCAAACAC